TAGAATAAGAATAAGATAGAATAGAATAGAATAGAATAGAATAGAATAGAATAGAATAGAATCTGGAAGGTACCTTGGAGGTCTTCTAGTCCAGCTCCCTGGTCAAGCAGCAGATCCTACACCAGTGATGGCTAACCTTTTTGCCATCGCGTGCAAAAAGTGGGCAGAGTGGGGGGGGATTGCACGCACGAGTGCCCACACCCATAATTCAATACGCCCCGTCCCCCCCCACATGCATGCATGACCCCCCTGCTCTCCCCCCACTTTTGGCACATGATGGCACAGTAGGCCTGATAGGCCCATTTTTTTGCCCTCCCCAGGCTCCAGAGGCTTTCTAGGAGCCTGGGGAGGGCTAAAACAGCCTTCCTCCTGGAGGCCCACTGGAGGCCCAGAAACAGCCCGTTTCCCGACTTCTGGTGGGCCCAGAAGGCCTGAATATCAGCTGGCCAGCGCACACATGCGTGCTGGACTGAGGTAGGGCAATGCTCGTGTACCCACAGATATGGCTCCATGTGCCACCTGTGGCACCCGTGCCGTAGGTTCGCCATCACAGTCCTACACCATTTCAGACAAGTGAGTGTCCAGTCTTTTCTTAAAAACCTCCAGTGATGAAGCACCCACAACGTCTGAGGGCAAGCTGTTCCACTGGTTAATTGTCCTCACTGTTAGGAAGTTTCTCCTTAATTCCAGGCTGCTTCTCTCCTTGATTATTTTCCATCCATTGTTTCTTGTCCTACCCTCTGGTGCTTTGGAAAATAAATTAACCCCCACTCCTCTTTGTGGCAGCCGCTCAAATACTGGAATACCGCTATCAAAAAACCCCTAGTCCTTCTTTTCTCTAGACTTGCCAAACCCAAATCCTTCAACAGTTCTTCATATGTTTTAGTCTCCAGGCCTTTAATCATCTTAGTTGCTCTTCTTTGCACTTTTTCCAAAGTCTCAACATCTTTTTTGTAATGTGGTGATCAAAACTGGATGCAATATTCCAGATGTGGTCTTACTAAGGCTTTATAAAGCGGTACTAATACTTCACATGATTTTGATTCTATGCCTCTGTTCATACAACCAAGGATTCCATTAGCTTTTTTGGCGGCGGCTGCCCATTGCTGAGTCATGTTTAAGTGATCGTCCAATTCCAAGGTGAGGTCCCTCTCACAGTTGTTGTTTTTGAGCCAGGTTTCATCTAATATGTACTTGTATCTTCGGTTTTTCATGCCCAGGTGTAAAATCTTGCTTTTTCCCACATTAAATTTCATTTTGTTGGATAGGACCAGCCCCCTGGTCAAGCACTCCATTTTGGGAGTGAGGGGAAGATCTCATAAAAATCAGGTGGCAGACATAAAACTTTAGAGGAGAGATTCAACCTAGAAATAAGGAGAAATTTTCTCACAGTGAGAGCAATCAACCAGCTTGCCTTCAGAAGTTGTGGGTGCTTCATCACTGGAGGCTTTCAAGAAAAGACTGGACAGCCACTTATCTGAAATGGCGTAGGGTCTTCTGCTTGAGCAGGGGGTTGGACTAGATGACAGGGCCCTTTCCAACTGTTCTGTTCTGAGAAGTCATAGTCGCAACAGAGATGGATTCTTCATGAATGACATTTCAGCTCCAAAATCAAGAAAGATATGTTAAATAACTTCAAAACAGTTCTCTTTATTGTTCCAGAAGACAGAAATCTTCTCAAGCTAAAGCAACTACTTGCTTCATTAAAGATAAATTCTGATAATTTTTCAGGAGGAACTATCTTAACCCTCTTTCTCCCAACCAATCTAAATTTGGCTGACTATTGGTTCTCTGGAATGCAGCCTCTCCTTCCTGGGAATCCAGACTACATTCCACCACATAACCTGACAGCACTTCCTGGACTGCTCTCATGTGACCATCTAATGTCATGTGCTGGCTTGGAACTTGTAGGAGTTTCTGGATTCCTCAGGAATGCCTATAATTAATTAAATGCAACACCTCCTTTCCCATATTGCTTTCCAACACCTACTGATACCGCGGAAAGTGTTTCTCAAATGAATGGATCTATCCAGGATGCACTTTTCTGTACTTTTCATATAAACCTAATCCTATTGGACAATCATTTAAATATGAGCCAGCAGTGTGCTGCAGCTGCCAAAAAAAGCCAACACAGTTCTAGACTGCATAAAGAGGGATAGAATCAAGATCATGTGAAGTGTTAACACCACTTTATAATATCTTGGTAAGGTCACACTTGAAATACTGCATCCAATTTTGGTCACCACGATGTAAAAAAGATGTTGAGACTCTAGAAAGAGTGCAGAGAAGAGCAACAAAGATGATTAGGGAACTGGAGGCTAAAACATACAGTTGTATCTTTAGCTGGAGGCTAAAGAACAGTTGCAGGAACTGGATGTGTCTAGTTTAATGAAGAGAAGAACTAGGGGAGCCATGATAGCAGTGTTCCAATATCTCAGGGGCTGCCACAAAGAGGAGGGAATCAATCTATTCTCCAAAGCACCTGAGGGCAGGACAAGAAGTAATGGATGGAAACTGATCAAGGAGAGAAGCAACCAAGGAGAAAATTCTTGACAGTTAGAACAATTTATCAGTGGAACAACTTGCCTCCAGAAATTGTGAATGCTCCAACAGTGGAAGTTTTTAACAAGAGATTGGATAACCATTTGTCTGAAATGGTATAGGGTTTCCTGCCTAAGCAGGGGGTTGGACTAGAAGACCTCCAAGTTCCCTTCCAACTCTGTTATTCTGTTCATTTGTTAATGACCAAATAATATGATAAAAAATGAAGATGTATACCATTAAGAGGAGAAAGACTTTGATATAGAGCAAGATTAGATTAGAAAATGCTTAATCTCTGGTTTGTCTTCTTTTTCAGATGTTCATGTCACACAGTCTTTGCTCTGTCATTAAACAAAGATACATATCTTGGGGGAAAGGCATTTGAAGAAAGGAAGATTTCTACGGAAGTATATAATCCCGACAACCTAAATAATAATTTGTAGAACACATGGAACCAAGTACAGAATGTATGACCTATTTGCAGATGATAGGTAAATCTGTAAGAATATTTGGCAAGCTTTGTTATTTAGTACAAGAATGTAACCATCTTGGAATTAATAATAGGCAGCTTATTTTATTAAAGGGAAGAAGCATGACAGTCATAGGAACATGCCAAAAGAGAATGGACAATCATTTCTCTGGAATGGTATAGGGCAGTGATGGCTAACCTTTTTTTCCTCATGCACGTGCCCACACCCATAATGAAATGCCCCCCCCCCACACCCTGCCCCCCTGTGCATGCACATGCAAAACCCCCCCATGCTCCCCACCCCACCCCCGCGCATGCATGCCTAACCCCCCACATCCTGTTTTGGGCCTAGCAGGCTTCCCTGAAGCCTTTGGAGGCCGGAAACAGTCCATTTCCAGATTACCAGTAAACCCGTTTTTCATCTTCCCCAGGATCTGGAGGATCTGGAGGTTTTCCTGGAGCCTCCAGGATGGCGAAAATGGCCTCCCCTGGCCCTCTGGATGCCTTCTAGAGGCTGGAAACAGCCCATTTAGGTACTTCCGGTACATCCGGGAGGCCCATTTTTCACCCTCCACAGGCTCCGGAGGCTTTCTTGGAGCCTCCAGGAGGGTGAAAATGGCCTTCTCCAGCCCTCCAGAGGGCCTCTGGAGGCTGCCCATTTTTCACCCTTCCAGAGCCTCTGCACAAGCCTTGTACTTACCTGGCATCCAAAACAGGCCGTATGGAGACTACTAGGAGGGGTGGGGTGGCATGGGCATGCACGCACATCTCCCACATGCATGGCAGAGACCCAAAAATCAGCTGGCCGGTGGGAGACGTGTCCACATGCACGGAGGAGCTAACCTAGGTGACGGCTCGTGTGCCTGCAGAAATGGCTCTGCATGCCATCTGTGGAACATGTATCATAGGTTCACCATCACGGGTATAGGGTCTCCTGCTTGAGCAGGGGGTTGGGCTAGAAGACCTCCAAGGTCCCTTCCAACTCTGTTATTCTGCATTCTGCATATTGTATTTGGGTTATGGGGACTATGGAATTTTTAGTATCCTATGTATACACACTGTCAGCATTCCAAGTAATGCACCCATAGAAAGCAGAACTCAAAGGCAGGCATATTCCTCAAAGAACAATTTATTGGATATATCATATTGGTAGAACTGGTGAAAACTGACTCTGAAAGTTCCTGTGGTTTCACCTAATTAAAAAATGAACGTTTCCCCTTCCTCCCGCTAGTCATCAGTCACATCATCCAATAGAGGTGCTGGCCAGTTGCTTGGTTACTCCACTCCTCCTCTCCCCAGCCACCTGCTGGAATGTCCTTGGTTCCCACAGGAAAAACTTTTTGTTTTGACTACAATCCCAGCTATCTAGTCTCCCCCACCCCCCATCCCATCTTCTGTCTTGTGGCAACCCTGAAGCCTCAAAGATAGCCTCAGCCAGGTTTGCTTCAGGGTTGATAGTACACAAAATCCTGATTCTTCAAGGAAGATAAAACAGCACTTGCTTATATTTATTTTCTTCTGAAACAACATTTAATGCTGATAAAAAAATCCATATTCGATTTGCTTAAACATCCATCTTGTTTTCAAGGCAAGCAGGAGACAGTTTTATGGGTAGATTTTTTTTTCAACCTTTCAAAAATCAGACAGTTCCCTCTAGTATATAAAAATCTGATACATCCAAGGATTTTCCATAGTTTTAAAACTCAGAACCAGTTTATACTTATATTCTATTCTGAAACAATTCAAGCCATTAGGCTGAATGATTGAATAGGGAAGAGTAGTTGGCAGATTCACCAGAGAAGGAATGGATTAAATGGTGATGGTGGTAATATCAGAAGAACCACAATTCAGTGCCTGCAAAATGATTGTTTGTTCTCAGGCTGGCCTTACCCAATTATTGCATCCAAACCTGGGGATCATGAGTTCTAGTCCTATCTTAGGCATGAAAGCTGGCTGGATGAACTTGGCCCAGTTGCCAGGAGATGGAGAGTTCTAGAGCTGCCTTAGGCACAAAAGCTGGCTGTGATGTAAAGATTCTAGGCTGAGTCCTTTCTTGACTCCACCCCCAAGCTTTGCCTGCTCTTCTACAAGGAGCCAGTTTGTGCAGAAGTTAAATCAACAGGCAAGAGACTGGGAGACAGTGAGTTCTAGTTCCACCTTAGGCAGGGGTGGGATTGAAAAATTTTAGCAACTGGTTCTCTGCCCAGTTGCTGGGTGGGTGTGGCCATGGGGATGTGGCCTACTCTACCTCCTGCACCACAGCAGGGGGTGGGGGCATTTTCACATTCCCCAGGCTCCGGAGACTTTCCTTGAGCCTTGGGGTGGGGGGTGGGGCAAAAACGGCCTCCCCTGGGCCCCGGAGGCCCTCTGGAGGCCGGAAATGGACTCATTTCTGGACTTCTGATACTTCTGGTAGGCCCATTTTTCGCCCTCCCCGAGCCTCCACGCGGGCCCTGCACTTACCTGGAATCCAAAACGGACCACGTGGAGACTCCTGGGAGGGGAGGAGAGGGGTGGGCGGGGCCAGCCAGTCCTTGCAACTACTGGTTTGGCGAACCAGACATAAAATTAGCATCCGGTTCGCCTGAACCAGTCCTAACCGGCTGAATCCCACCCCTGACCTTAGGCATGAAAGCCTGCTGGGTGACTTTGGGCCACTCATTCTCTCTCAGAGCAACTGTAGGAGTTCTGGGGAAAAGAAGAGAAGGAAGGAATATTCGGTATGTTTACCGCCTTGAGTTATTTATAAAAATAATAAAAGTGGGATACAAATACACGCATAAATAAAAACTAAATAAATATGACGACCAATAAAGTTCTTTTGGCAACCATGTTATGAGTGCCATGATAGGTTTTAAACTTCCATCATAGATAAGGACATAAAATGGTTCTCTTCTATTGCTTTAAGAGTAACTTTGAGAGGGAACTTGGAATCTTAGTGGATGATCCCTTAAATATATGACCCAGCAGTGTGTGGCAGCAGCCAAAAAAAACTAATATAATCCCTTTTTGTATAAACAGAGGCATAGAATCAAAATCCCATGACGTATTAGTACTGCTTTATAAAGCTTTATTAAGGCCACACCTGGAATACTGCATCCAGTTTTGTCACCACATTACAAAAAAAATGTTGAGACTGGAAAAAGAGCAAAGAAGAGCAACTAAGATGATTAAAGGCCTGGAAACTAAAACATATGAAAAATAGTTGCAAGATTTGGGTTTGGCCAGTCTAGAGAAAAGAAGGACTGGGGGGGACATGATAGCAGTATTCCAGTATTTGAGAGGCTGCCACAAAGAGGAGGGGGTCAATTTATTTTCCAAAGCACCAGAGGGCAGGACAAGAAACAATGGATGGAAACTAATCAAGGAGAGAAGCAACCCGAAATTAAGGAGAAACTTCCCAACAGTGAGGACAATTAACCAGTGGAGCAGCTTGCCTTCAGAAGTTATGGGTGCTTCATCACTGGAGGTTTTTAAGAAGAGACCGGACAGCCACTTGTCTCAAATGGTATAGGATCTGCTGCTTTTTCAGGGGGCTGGACTAGAAGACCTCCAAGCTCCCTTCCAGCTCTATTCTGATTGATTGACAACGAGACAGTCTGTTCCAAAGCCTGGCTCAGATTAGCCTCCACCACAGATCAAATGACAGAGTTGAGTCTCTTTGATGAACTATATCCTTAGAAAACAAAAAAAAGGAGGAAAGTAGAATTAGTGCCACCAATCTATTCCTCCCCTTCTTTGAGCAATTGGCACTTAGGCCCCAACAAATTGTCACCTCTTTTTACTTAAGTTTCCTTGTTCCTTCCATTAGCATTTGGCTGGAATACCAATGCCTGGACAGGAGGACAACGTGTTTTGTTTTTTTTTCCAAAGAAAAAAGTCAGCATTCAGAGGTGTTATTCCAAGGGAAAACGGCTCAATTTGAATCTTGGCTATGTTGAAAATTGGCAGAAACTCGTTTTCTTCCGATCAGCATTTTTGCTCCATTTGCTATTTACCTTGTCTCTTTTTTTTCCCTCCCCTGTTCCTGGATGCTAAAACTTGATGTTCCAGGGTTTATTTCTCTCTTGCATTTTAGTGGAATCTATCCACTCACCAACCCATAAAAGGAACAACCTGATTCATAAGTGCAGTTTAAGAAGAGGATGTGACTCAAACTGGTATTTTTCCTAGGATTGAATCGTAATTGAGAATTTTTGTATCTTGGGGTTAAAATTTATTGATTTACCTAGCGCATGGCATGTAACACATGGACAGCAGGGTTGAAATGAGGGGTCCTTAGTGCTCTCTGAGCTTGCTTGTTTTCTTGCAGATGTTTCATTATCTGAAGTAGGTAACATCACCATGAGCCATGGTGGTGCAGTGGTTGAGTGCAGTACTGCAGACTTCTTCTGCTGCCTGATGGCTGCCTGCAATTTGGCAGATCGAATCTCACCAGGCTCAAGGTTGACTCAGCCTTCCATCCTTCTGAGGTGGGTAAAATGAGGACCCAAATTGTTGGGGGAAATATGCTGACTCTGTAAACCGCTTACAGAGGGCTGTAAAGCACTGTGAAGCAGTATATAAGATTAAGTGCTATTGCTATCTGTCATCTGCACCTCTATAACTGTCTGGTTTGGTTCTGCAACCCAACGAGACAGACACCGACTTCAGAGGATAATTAGAACTGCAGAAAAAACAATTGCTACCAACCTGCCTTCCATTGAGGACCTGTGTACTGCATGAGTCAAAAAGAGGGCTGTAAAAGTATTTACAGACCCTTCGCATCCTGGACATAAATTGTTTCAACTCCTACCCTCAAAACGATGCTATAGAGCACTACACAGCAAGACAACTAGATACAAGAATAGTTTTTTTTCCCTGCTAAACAAATAATTCCCTCAACACTGTCAAACTATTCACATTAGGCTGCATTACTATTGCTATTAGTCTCATCATTCTTGTCACTCATCTCCTCCCACTTGTGACTGCATGACTGTAACTTTGTTGCTTGTATCCTTGTGATATATATTGATATTGATTGTTTCCTAGTATGAGTTAATTGCTTATTGTACTGTATGACTGTCACTGGGTGTTGTGCCTGATTCTTGATGAATGTATCAGTGGTGGGTTCCTCCCGGTTCTGCCCGGTTCTGCCGAGCCGGCAGCGGTGACGATATGACATCACTGAACCGGTTCTGCCCCCCCCCACCCCTCCTGCATTATTCTTACCTTTTATTTGTCCCCACTCTCAATCTATTGCTGCCTCCTGAGTCCCAGCTATTGGCTACAGTGAAAAAAACTATTTAAACTCTTGCCGCGGGGCTTCAAAGGGCCGCCCTACAGCTGATCAGTGTTAAAAGAAAACAAATGGATAGACCAGTGCCTGCAAAAATAAATGGGTAGATCAGTGCCTCCAAAAACAAATGAGTAGACCGGTACAGCTCTGCAAGCAGTTAAAAGCCTGGTAGACCAGTACCTCTGCTAAATCCTAAAGAATTGTCACATGATCATCAAGCCATGCCCATAAAATAAGCCACGCCCACAGAACCGGTAGTAAAAAAAATTAGAACCCACCCCTGGAGTGTATCTTGTCTTTTTATGTATACTGAGAGCATATGCACCAAAGACAAATTCCTTGTGTGTCCAATCACACTTGGCCAACAAAGAATTCTATTCTATTCTATTCTATTCTATTCTATTCTATTCTATTCTATTCTATTCTATTCTATTCTATTCTATTCTATTCTATTCTATTCTACTCTACTCTACTCTACTCTACTCTACTCTACTCTACTCTACTCTACTCGTAATGAAACGTCTGCAAGAAAGCAAGCAATCTCAAAGAGCACCAAGGACCCCACCTGGAACTGTCTTGGGGAAATATCTGACACCGTTCAGTCTTAGCTCATGCAATTTTGCATGTTAATGTCTCTGGTTATTTTTTCAAAAAATCCAGTTATGACTATTTGCTTTCCCTTTGACAAGCATTACCTATCTCATTGTGCATAGCTCTTTCCGTGAATGTCTCAATTTGCAAAGGATTAATTTTAATTCGCTTCTTGTTCATCCAGGAATTCAGGCACAACAATTGATCCACTTATAGAGTTACTCTTCACAGTTTGGCAGGATGTCTGTTAACTTCCAAATTCCACAAGTATTGTTCAGTCATTTTCATTATCATTAAGCAGAATTTTATGTCCTTTCAGAACATAAAACTCTCATCAGCAATCATAAAGTCAACTGCACAGCAGCGGTTATATTTGGAAGCAGCCAAAGATAATTCTGTCTTCACTGCTTCCAGCAAACACTGCACCATGTTTGAGGGGAAGAAATCGCAATAAAGGGATAATGCACTGCCAAAATCAGACTGCCTTTGTAACTCATTCTTTCTCGGAGTGCTCGAGAGTGTTTAAATTTGCTTTACAATTTTCATAAACTAGTGTTGAAAAGTACTAGTTTATGTTTTTCAAGAGTAGCAGAATAACAGAGTTGGAAGGGGCCTTGGAGGTCTTCTAGTCCAACCCTCAGCTCAGGCAGGACATCTTATATCATTTCAGACAAATGATTGTCCAATCTCTTCCTGAAAATCTCCAGTGTTGGAGCACCCACAGCTTCTGGAGGTGAGTCATTCCACTGATTAATTGTTCTAATTGTCAGGAAATTCCTCCTTCGTTCTAGGTTGTTTCCCTCCTTGTTTAGTTTCCATTGGTCGACACCCCCCCCCCCCCGTTCTTTGTGGCAGCCCCTCAGATATTGGAACACTGCTATCAAGTCATCACTAGTCCTTCTTTTCATCAAGCTAGACATACCCAGAGAACACACCCAGTCTAGCAGTCTAGACCAGAGGTGTCAAACTCAAGGCCCATGTGGTCAGAACCAGCCTGTGGGGCCATCCTGGAAAATGTAATGGACTGGCCCATGTCACTTCGGCCCAGTCTACCCAATGCAAAGAGGAAACGTAGGGCCAGCGTGGCTTCAGCCTAGTCTACCCAGTACGAAGAGGAAACATGCCAGCAGTTTGGGGAGTGGTGTCAAGCTGGCCACACCCACCCCAGTTGCCCACGCCCAATGAGCGGCATCAAGCTGGCTATGCCCACCCAGTTGGTCACATTTATTTATTTATTTATTTATTTATTTATTTATTTATTTATTTGTTTG